GCAGTTTTACTGGTCTTACAAGCCCCAAGATCTACTCTACATATTCTTGAGTGCCCTCTATGGGCACCTTGACTATTTACAGATATGCAGACATCTCTCCTAACAGTGTTAGCTTGTAGCTACTCCTCATCTCAAGTATATTTGAACTGGCAACCAAGGGATGAAGGGCTTTGTATCCTGTTACTGATTCCCCTGAGCCAGGCTGTCTCCCAACCACAAAGTCCTTTTTTCTGAAGTGTGCATGGGAGTAGTTTTCATTTGAAATAAAATATCTTTTTGATCACGTTTTAGTTTTTCAGTTTCATTCATGACATTCTTTCCCTGCAGGAAACACACCATAATTGAAGGGTAGAAGAAAAGAGAAAAATGGTACTGGCTGAGATTCTGCTACTTTTAAAAGTGATTATTTTTATTTTGATGTGTAGTTTGTTTGTTTAAAGGTTTTGGTGAGAAACCACGTTCTCCCTCCCATCAATCGCTGCTTTCAACAGCTCTTCACGGGTGACTGCGTCTCTTTTAAATTTCATTTCCTGTTAAAAAGAATAAACAGGCAATGGTTTAATGCTGTCGATTTGGCTTATTTAATAGAAATTGAAACTTAAACGAGGCTCAGTTGTGAGTCAATTACTGAAGAAGCCGGCAAGCTGGGAGAAAACTTTAAAATGATTACTCATTGAGTTTTGTAATATTGTTTAACAATACCGTGTTAAAAAAACAATAAAGAAGAAATATTCAACCAAGAGATGTTAACTTCCAAGCAGCAGTAGGTACAGTAAGAACCACTTAATAGGAACAGTTGCTTAATTGGGAAACTTGGCTGGGAACCATAAGCTTTAAAATCTGTTTTATTGGGACTTCTGAGATCTCCTGCCAGATTGTAGGAAAGACAGGTGGAAGCTGATTTCTTGAAATCCTAGGTGCTAGTGAGGTGGAAATTGAAGTGCAAATGTAATTTCCTCCTCCTAGGCTTCAACTCGACTGACTAGCATGTACTACAGTTCAATTTGCCTTACCTAAGCTAGCATTTTAGAGCATATTAGTTAGGAAATGGTAGCTAACATTTAAAAAAAAACCAGCTTTTTTATCCTATACAAGACAAAACATGTGTTACTTTGTTCTCATGCATGTTTACAGAATCAGGCCCTGAGACTGTAAGCTTTTTGGGCAGCAAATGTTTTTTAATCCACGTCTGTAAATCTATCTTTTAGTTGTGTAAATGTATAGTTCTGTAGAAATGACAATAAGAGTTGACGATAATGATGAAGTTGTAATCCCCTTGGAATGCAGAATTTACCTCAGCAGGTGATAACTGTTGCATTCCAAGTAGATTAGCACATTGAACTTTTTACCCATTGTCAGCCATGGATGTTATTAACAGGTGCCACTGAAACAATGCTGAAAAGAGTTTAACCGCTAGTGTAGACAGGACCCAATCACATTCAGCACCATCACAGAAAACTTACTCTGAGCAATAAAATTACCTGATGCTCAAAATGGTGGCAGCAGCCAGAGCCTTGTCTACATTAACACTCCCACCACCGCTTCCTGTTGGACCTGAAATGTTGGTAGCAATAGCAGGAAACATTGACTCTAATTGGCATAACTTGCATGCTGAGGAGCTGGAAGAAGGTGTACAGTGAGGTAGGCAGTAGCCCACACTTTACCATTTCCACACCTTTTACTTTCTTCTGGCTATCAATTTAGATAGCTTTGAATCTCAGTACAAAGGCTGTAAATTGTCTAAGAGAGTCATAGGCCAGGTCAACACTGCAGACATCTTAAAAAAAAAATCCTCAGCAGTATTAACCCTACTGTAGAAGAATGGCTAGTGGCTAGACCTATTTTTGCTACCAGCTGAAAAGTCTAATCAAAACAGTGATAAAAATGGCTCTGGTCAAAGGAATCTTGCCTACACAAACTCTCCCATGGGGGCTAACAATAGTAAGAATATATAGGGCAAAGTTCTCCAGTGTAGACTAGGTTTAACTTAGTGCAAGGTTAATTTACTCTATCTTACATATAGCTTCTGAACTTTGCCCTCTGAATATGTTTTTGCAGAAGCACATAGGGAGGATGAGCTTCTGGAGTCTGTGCAAAAGCAGCAATTTAATATACATTATTACTGTTCTTTAACATAGTTTTCTAAATGTAAGACTGAAAAGTCAAGTGCTCAAAAGTTAGGTATATTATCCTTCTCCTCCTCCACATTTTACAGATGAGGAACTGAAGGACAGAAAGAATAAAGTCAAAAGTGTCCACTAAGTTTGGTACCCACTCTGAGTGCCCAGCAGCCGGACATGAGGCCAGGAGCTGATTTTTTAGAGTATTTAGCATTTTAAATTACTTTTCTATAATCCAAGCACACCACTCATTGACTTCAGTTGCAACTGCAAGTGCTCAGCACTTCTGCAAATCAGACCCTGGGTATTTCAAGTTGGGCACACAGAAAATGAGGTGGCAACCTGTGAAAAGTTTGGATTAAGGGACTCGCTTAGCATGATAGGAACTCTGCACTGGGACAGAATCCAGTTCCTCAGGGCAGCATTCAACTGCTTTAGCCACAAGGCCCTCCTTACTCTTCTTAAAAAGAAAAGGAGTACTTGTGGCACCTTAAAGACTAACAAATTTATTTGAGCATAAGCTTTCGTGAGCTACAGCTCACTTCATCAGATGAAGTGTTGCATCCGATGAAGTGAGCTGTAGCTCACGAAAGCTTATGCTCAAATAGATTTGTTAGTCTCTAAGGTGCTACAAGTACTCCTTTTCTTTTTGCGAATACAGACTAACATGGCTACTACTCTGAAACCTTACTCTTCTTGCGGTCCTGTGCCTCATTGGCTATATACTTTCCAATTTCTGCAAGAAAGCTGGGATTCTACAGACAACAGTCTCCTTCACTACACAACCCTGAATCATTCCCAGATCATGGTTCATCCTGTGTAAGGGTCCTAAGGAACAAAGTAGTATGGGATCACCTAATAAAGGTTGTATCATAATGCATACACGCAAAGGGCCCAAAGTAAGGTTGCATAAACAACCATAATTCTGGAATTTCCTAACTTTTGACTGCTTGACTCTGCGACCTTTACATTTTTAATGCACTTTTTCTATCTTTTCTATGTAGTTTCCTATATTCTAAAAAACCCAGAACAAATCACCCAACTCAGAAATTCCTTCATGTGGAACTATAATAACCTTCACATGGGCTATCAGCAGTGTTGGAACGTTTTACATCTATAGCACAGGCCTCTGCCACTTGAGCTAAGAGGGTAACTGATACAGTAATAAGAAAAGGAGTACTTGTGGCACCTTAGAGACTAACCAATTTATTTGAGCATGAGCTTTCATGAGCTGTAGCTCACGAAAGCTCATGCTCAAATAAATTGGTTAGTCTCTAAGGTGCCACAAGTACTCCTTTTCTTTTTGCGAATACAGACTAACACGGCTGTTACTCTGAAACCTGATACAGTAATAGGTTGTCATCCTCTGTGGACCAACCACTGGAGGGAGATAAGACACATTTTGCCAGTGGGTTTCACAGCTATTTTTGCTGACAGCTGAGGAATATTGAGACTCAGGAATCCCGTGCTTTAGTGCTTACAAAACCCTTCTGATCTGTCCCCCAACAAGCCTCATCTCTTTTACCCATGTCCTCTTCAGCCCACCCAGTCTCAGTCCTCTTCCCACAAAACCAGTTCCTGTTCCAGTCTCCCTCTCCCCTCTCCTCACAACTCTTGCATCTTCCCCACTTGCTTCACACCCCTCTGCATCGCAGTCAAAGGCTACTTGTTTCTCCTCCATGCTGTCTTGGTGCCAGTGGTGGGTGCATTGAGAGTACATGAGAAACATCATCCTGCTCTCGGTTCTGCTGCTTGGCACTTCTCTCTCTCAGATGCAATTGCAGGGAAAGTCATGCTGAGCCCTTGCAGCACTTCGGTTTAACATTTGCAGTTGCTCTGTGGGGATGATGCATGTGTAGTCTGGCCTGGTCAGGACAAAGGAGCTAGGATGGTTTTGAGCATGCTCAGTTCAGATAGAATCTTTGAAGGATTTAGCAGCCAAACTCTAACAAGACTCTACTGAGAATATGTGAACTGTGATTTTTCAGAGGTTTCTACTGTGGTCAGATTTTGGCAGAATTTCAGAGGGATGGCAAAAAGTACATCTATGACAAGAGGATTAAACAGATGTAAAAAAATTTGAGAATGGGCAAAACAACATATTTTCCCCTAATTTTGTTCTCTGAAATGGCAGACACCTGTCATGGGACACTTCAACCCAAATTATTAAAGTCTGACAAAGTTACAAGCAACTGAAAACAGGGTCTTTAAATGAAAGTGTTAGGCAAACTTAACTAAATGTGTTCTACCATTGCCATCTTAAAAAAAAAAAAAATCACATTAGAAGTATTTGTGAGGCCAGACTGGTCCAGAAAGATGTAGGTCACAGGCTTCCAATAAAGACTAAAAGAGGCTGAACAATCTGTCTTAAATTATCTATGCTGCGTAACTCATGAAATGAAAGGGAATGAGAAATAATTTCTTTCTTTTCTCACAATTTATGTCCTTCTGTGTGTTCAAACTCTCACATAATGACTGTTTACAAATATTTAGAAGTACTTTTCTCTTCTACTGATCTAATGTCTTGAAATTTCATAGTAAACACATACAGGCAAACTGATTCTGGCCAATTCTTATTAATTTTGAGTCCAGATCCTAAGATCCACCAGCTGAAATGTCAGACAGGTCATAAACTGCTTTAATTCACATCTTGAAATATTTTTACCATGTGGAACATTTTATTGGTTGGTGGTGGGAGGAACCCACGAACCTAACATTCTTCAAAAAAAATCACAGAATTGCATGATCATGAGACAAACAAGGTTTGTCTTAGTTCCACTCTCCTCCCCTGTTTACTTGCGGATTTGAATATGAAAGTCAAAAAGCATATGTGAGGAATAAAGCCTGGTTTTACGTCTTTTGTTTTCTCTCTCCACTTACCTTTGTCTAGTTCACTTGAAATGTTCCATGACGATGTAGGCATTAATTCAGCAGAGACTGACAAATTTGTGCCTGAAAAGGAGAGGAAAAATACAACAGTTAATATATTAATTTACAGAATTACTTGATCTTTCCAAAGACAATGCCTTATGAACAAGATAATTTGAATACCACTGTTTTTTAAAATCTAATGGATGTGTCACATTGCCATGCTGAAGTGTATAAACAACAGTACTGGTCAAGGGAAAAAGGCAAGGTCAGCCTGGAATTTTGTTTTCCAATGCTGTCATTGTTTAAAATGTATGACTGTGAGACCTCATATTAATTGAGCAACACATTTTTGGGGAAATAGTCAGCTTGTCTCTTCTAGTTGTTGGAGGTGGATTATTACAGTATCACACCCAGTACTCTGACAAGAAAAAAACGTAGATGCTACAAAGTGGCTGAACATGTTATCAATCAACATTTCTAAGGGGGCCACTCCTGCAAGCCCATGCTCACAGAAATAGACATTGCTTATGCAAATAATTCCTCTGAAGTCAATGGAACTACTTGTGAGAGCAATCCCTACTCACATGGGTAAGGGCTTGATCTGTGCATCAACAACATCCTATCTCACTTGGCTCTTGGAAAGTCTAGTTGCTACTACTAATTTATTTTTAAATAGGAAAAGGCTCTGGATAAGTTTTATTTTGCAGGGTCAAGCTGAAAAGTCTTCATTTTTAACATCGTCTGTGCATGTTTTTCAGTAACCTCGGCTCTTTCATTTATTGCTTCAGGGCTTCGTATTTATTTGTTTGTTTTTTTTTAAATCTTATACTATCAGTGCACACAGCAACATTACACAGAATCCTGCTAAAGAAAACTGACAATTCAGTTCAGTCCCCAAATTTGTTTTAAAAACACACCCCTAGTATGAACACAGATGTTTCCATTACATTTTAAAACAATGAAACCTTTTTTAAAATGTGCAAACTCCACTGCACTGCTGTGAATCCCCTACCCAAAGAATCCAGGGGGCAGAGTACTCCATCTCTATTTGGAGCCCACTATTGGATTCCACCTGCACAGGTCCAGTAGCAGGATCAGAACTGTAGGGGTGTAACCCACACCTACAAAGAGTGCCCCCCTAACGTGGCTGGCCCAGAGTTTATGAGGCTGCTATAGCCTCTGAGCTAGAAGAATCATCTCTTTTAGCTGAAACATTAGAGGATCAAGCCAGAGGTCTAGGTTCACTGCTGATAACCCACCCAAGGGTGATGGAAGATGCATTACAGTGGCATTGAGTTAATGCATGCGGGAAGAACACAAAAATGAAACTGAATTCAGCTTCACTTTCCAAACTGAAACACAGGAAACTTTCAGAATAAATAGTGGAAAGTAAACAAGATTTCTACACTTCTTCAGTTTTAATACTGTGCATTCATTGTGCACCCAATGCAAGAGCCTGCATTCACTGTGCACCCAAGCTTCAGCTGATTTCAGTAGGGCCAATGAATAGAAGGCAGGATCAGGAAGCTAAGATGTTAACATAGATACAAATATATTTATTTCGAAGTATATGATTTGTATTCTGACACTGCCCTTTTAACATGTTCCAAGCAATCAAAACAGAATAGGTCTTCTATACCTAGAAAATAATTTCATGGATAAAAATTGTCGGCACAAAGATATTCAAATCTATTCTACTTTTATTCCATCTGTTAAGTGGCTTTTTTATTTAATAAATTATATGCGTAAACTCACACAAATGTATGAAGTAATAAGATATGGCCACTACCCTTTCCTTATAAATACCCTCTTTCTTAAAAGCCCACCTGGTAGCACTGCTTATTTAAGAGTCTGTCAAGCATTTCCAATGTAAACACAGTATTTGAAGGCATTATAAGTCATCCATTTTCATAGGGCTTAACTAGATATATAAGATAGAAACACACTTTGTGGGGCCGGATCCTCAGCTAATGTAAATTGGCATAGCTCCACCTAAATCAGTGGAGGCATCTATTTACACCAGCTGCAGTTTTGGCCAAGCCTGTACATCCCTGTGCACTCTTAGCTATGCTTCACAGCCTAAAGACGAGAGGTTTGCCTCAGGATGCCATAGCGGATCCGTCTGAATTTCTTGGATTTTGTGGGATTAAACCTAAATTTGACTTTGGTCCAGATTCTTGTATTATTCATGTTAACGCTTAGATTTAATACTCAATTGCCATATATACCTACCATGCCATACTGATTTTAGAGACAAGTTCTCCGAATTTCTCATGGCTTCCCCAACAATAGTCTGTCTTGCTGATTGAATGCAGTGTCAGACTGCTGACAACTGAATAGACCCATGGCATTGCTGAGAGCAAACGTGGTCACCGTACACCTCCCTGCACTAATTGTACTACTCAGAGAGCCTTAGAACTGAGGCTGTAATGGAGATAATCCCTTTGGAGAGATACATTAAGTGACTGTATTGGACCTTGATATAATTAGTTCTTGGTTTTCATGGTAATAGCTGAGAGGCAGCGACAGCTGAGAAACAGACAATGGGCCAACCTTGAGGTGAAAATGGTCCCTGTTCCCCACTCAGGGAAGCTCCACAGAAGCCTCATTCTCAGGCTTGGATGCTAGGTTGCACTCTGCAGGGATCTGATGCGGCTCAAAAGAAGTGGGCGGAGTTCATGAAAATGAGCTACTCTCTGTCCTCTCCACTGTCCATCCTTCATGGAACCTGACCCTTGGGTCATCCCTGCTCAGAGAGCCTAGAGGCTTCTGTAAACTTGTGGCAATAATCTCGTGGACTCACATGCAGGAAAGAGAGAGGATAACACAGGGACTGGGGTGCTCTTTATGAGCCCTTCCCCCCAAATCGGTGTTTGTTTGTGTGATGTCGGAGGGGTTTGAGGTGCTTTGCTTCCTCCCATCGCCACGTCCTATTCCTTGGGAAGAGGACATTCAGCTGCAGCTGTGTTTCAGATATCAGCCCTTCAGGCTGGGACTACTAGGCACCTCAAGTATCTCCTCAGTTGAGGAGATCCTTCCAGACAATAAGAGACATCCGAGGAGGATCTGCACCACCGACATCACTTCTTAGGAACCCCACTGGGGTGCGGGCGGGGGGAATTGCCTACTGTATTTTTCAGAGAAGAGAGGGCTGGTAGGTCACAGAGCATTAGCGGGTCAGTCACATACTTTCCAGAACACAGAACAACTCTTGTCTCACTCAGTACAAGCTGAGGAGACTGTGTCACTAACATGCAATCTTGAATGTCCCACAGGCCAGGGTCTGAGCTTTATAATATAGGCAAGCACTGAACAAACAGAATAGGAGAGGAGTGCGTCACCATTGCATTTCAGAGCATTAGCATAAAAACAAACACAACAAATAACCCATGAAACTAGGGATCATGTGAAAACTGATCTCATGAATATTTTCAGAAATACTGATGATTACATTTTACTGTGCAGTGACAACATAAGCAAATCAAAATGGGATTAACATTTGTTGTGTAAATGTAACATCTTAAATGACTTCTGCAAGAAGAGCAAACTAGGAGAAAAACAAACAAACCTGTTGTTGATTACATCGGAAAGACCTACTATAAACCTGTGAACAACTGCCATACTGACTCAGATCAGTATGCTCCATCTAGTATCCTGTCACTGACAGTAGCCTGTATCAAGTGCTTCAGAGGAAGGTGCAAGAAATCCTACAGGAGGTAGTCATGGGATAATCTGCACCCAGGAAAAACAATATTGCTGACCCCTGGAAGTTCAAAAATCATGAGATGGGTTTAAAAATGAGATTTCAAAAATAATACATTTTGGGTTCCATCTATTCCCCTTCTGATGTCAAAGCATTTAGGGTTCACCTTTTCAAATTTTTATTCACAGCTGCAAGGGCTAAAAATGTACTTTTTTTTACAAAATTAAAGCCAAGATTCCATCATAATAACCTTATTCCACCAGCTGCAGTTTTAAGAAAACACCCCAGATATTATTAGACTTGTAATGAAATTGCAAGAGTTGGCAACACTGAAAGTTTCCTCCTAATCCCCAGAAAATATATACATGTTTGGTGGAGTACAAGCGCTGTGAGTCACGTTGTTAACTAAACTTGTGTATGATATTGCCTGGAGTGTACTGAGAGATACATATTGCTGCTGCACAATTGGTCATTAGGGTTAGCACAGTTATAGCCTGTGATGCATGTACAGCACTGAGCAGTGTCTTTATTATAATAATATAAACTAGTCAGAATCCATCTGGAAACTTAAAATACAGCTGGGAAGCCAAAACACTTCTCATGGCTCAGGTTTATCCTTTTATGTGTTGGTCCTTGAAGGGAAAAAGGATTTTTTTTTTCCAGTCAGCCTCAAAGATTTTGCTTCCTCAGAAATTACCATTCCCCTCTTTAAAGTTGCAGCCAAATGACACATGTTGGACCTTCATTTCAAGTGCTGCTGTAATCTCAATGTTGCCAGTTGTTGCAATAGTGGGAGCTCCACTGAATGCCCCACCTTCCAGAGTGATGTGATTACAGAAGAATCTTGGCTCTCATTTAAAAAAAATTATGTTTTTAGTAGATCAGAGCAAAAAATTGAATTTCTGTCCTGTGGAAAATTCCAATAGTTTAGCATTTGTTTTTATCCCAAATGGGAAACATTGAAACTTTTTGTGGAATGAATGAAAAAGTACAAAACATTTTGTTTTAACTTTCCCGAATAGAAAATTCCAGTGAAACCTAGTCTTTCCTCATTGAAAATTTCTATTTTGACAAAGCACTAATTTTCCAACATGAAAATGTTTCACTGAAATTATTTTGACAAGTTCTAGCCCTCACGGTTGCAGAGAAAAGTTCGAAAACATGAACCCAGAGCACCATACAGGCTCAAAACACATAGTGGCAAAAAATCCCAAATGTATTACTTTTTTTAAAAAATGTCATGACTTTGAAGACCATTTCTTTGTTGTTTTGGGGCCTGAATCGTGATTTTTCAATGCTTGCGGTTGGTTGACCCCGTTAAAAAGATAGTTAGGACCGGGGTCACTTACAGCCCCAAATGGGCCTTCTGAACAAAAAT